TCCGGGCTCGACCTGCTCGATACTATAGCGGCAGTTCAGCTTCGTCGTTCGGTCCCGTATCAGCCCTGCCCTCTGTACCCCCATCACGCTCCGGAACCAGTCTTCCAGCCCTACTGGCAGCGTTGCTGTCAGCAGTACCAGCGGCCGTCGGAATCTTGCCAGTCCGCGCAGCTGCTCTAGCTTCGGCCGGTATCCGACGTCCATGATGATCGTGTGGCACTCGTCGACGAATATCCGCCCCAGCTGTCCCGACTGCACCAGCCCGTCTGCGTAGCCGCAAAAGTCATCGCTGCCCACTACGTCCGCGCTCACTACCACGAGCCGCGCCGACCGTGGTACCAGCTCTCGTCCGACGCCGATAGCCGGTCGATACTGGATACAGTCTACCCCCATCAGCATTGCCCGCTCTACCAAGTCGTCGATGAGCGCCACGAACGGCACTACGACGATACTGGTACCCGTCTCTTGCATCCTCGCCGGCAGCATGAATAATATGCTCTTCCCGGCCCCCGTCGGTAGTACGCTGATCGCCGCATCGCTGCCTCTCAGCCGCATAATCGCCCGCATGCTCTCGGCCTGCTTCTCGCTCCTCCACTTCGCTTCCGGGCCCAACAGCCTCTTTAGCCCAATCGCCATCTCCTCCTCCGGATCCGGTTTCGTCCGCCGCCGCTTCGTATCGCTGCCTGCCTGACCCTTCTCGTCCGCCGTGTTGACTCTCTTATTCGGCGTCTCTGCTTTTCCCTTGCCACAGCTACAGCAAATGCTGCTCCTCTCATCCTCCGCTTTCACGCTGCTCCCCTCCTCCTCTGTGTTGCCGCTGCTGCCATTCTCCAAAAACTCGTGCCATAATTTGCTGATCGCCCGGAACGACCGAACCATCTCCGGCTGTAGCTTTCCCGGGTGTGCCGTATGTAGCCCATACATCGCCCGCGCGATCCGTGTCCCGTGTGTAGCCTGTAAGTCCCAAATTACGTTCCGACTACCGCCACAGTCGACTGGCTCTCCGGTCAGTGGGTTGATCTCAACGTTGTCCTCGTCCTCTTCCTCGCCCATGTCTACCTCCTGCTGCTTGATCGCCAGCGAGCGTATAAGCCGGCCCATCTCGATAGCTACCGGCCGATACCGACCTACGCTGAGCGTTACCCCGGTACCCGCTAGCGTAATCCGTGCCATGACCGTGCTGAGCTTGTTCGTATCCCAAACCTTCGAGTCTCCGTCCCGCCACATAAACTCGCATAGCTGCCGCTGCGGTACCGGTAGCCCACACCTCTTCCGTAAAGCCTTCTCTGCCGGTAATAGCCACGTGACGTACGCGACCAGCATCCGCCCGATCCTGTCCGGCATAAACCGCGCCACCTTGCGGCCCATATCCCGGATCGCCTTCATCTTATCCCGGTCGAATACGAACATGACCTCCCCGGACTGCACAAACATGTTCCGGAGTAGCTGCCATGAGTCGCAGTGCCGTAGCGTCGCAACTTCCGGCCCTCTCCCGGGCTGCCCTCCGGTGATATGCACCAGCATCATCGCGAGCTCCTTGAACTGTCGTAGCTGCCGTAGCCATCGCCGTACCGCGCCCTTCTTAAACCGAGCTCGGGCGGCGTCCCATAGCTTCGACTCTCCAAGCCTGAATACCTTCTTGCATCCCGGCTCTAAAAAGCTGTTCTTCGGGTTCGTAACGAACGACTGGCCGGCTCCTGCGCGTACCATGCTGTCCTGAATCCGTCCTAGCTCGAGCCCCTTGCCGATCGTCGCCCACGACCCGAACATCAGCTCGTCCAGTAGCTTCTCTGCGTCGTTGATTGTGCTCCGTACCGTCTGTCTGAAGTCGTCGATCCTGATCCGCTCTCCGCAGTGATATAGTGCCGTGCCGTCATCCTCCCACCGCATCGTCGCCGTCCCCGTCCGTAAGTTGCGGTGGCCCTTACCGTACGCCATCCAACCGATCACCGTGCTTATTACCGTATTGGTCCCTAAACACATCCATTTGGGGTGCTCCTCCTCCCGGAATTTCTTCGCGCCCGCCGCGTCAACTTCGTACAAGTCCCTCCCGTACTCCTCGAACGCGGCCTCCAAAAAAAACAGCCTGGCCCACCAAAGCAGCCCTGCCAGCATGCCCGTGTATAAGTGCGCCTCCATATATCCTTGCGGCTTCTTCATAATCCCTAGCGCGGCGCAAAACGCTAGTAGTGGGCTCTCGTACACTCTACCTCCGACGTATTGCTTGATCGAAGCCATGATGAATGAAAACACGGCCCGGTCTAGCCGGCTCCACTCTCTCGTGCTGTCTCCGCCCTCTTCTTCCTCCATCTCCTCCTCCTCCTCCTTATCGTCGTCCTCGCTGCCCTCGCTACTGAAAAAGCCGCTGTCCTGCGTCGTATCCACGTCTTCGCGCTCTTCGTGCTCGGTCTCGTATACCATATCGCATAGTAAGCCCCACTGCTTATCGTTGAACCGGATGGCTAGCTGCTCTTCTGCTGCCTCTCGTCCGAGCTGGTGGGCCCGTAAGCAGTATCCCAAGTAGCGATGCCCGATCGACTTGTACTTCGTCATCGACGCCTCGTTTTCCTTCCGCCCAAACGGCACGCCGCTCTGTTGAGTTGCCGATATCGATGCCAAACACTGCAGCGTATCTGTCGGCACCACATCCAGTCTCCAGCAGCACCGGTCTACCTCGCGGTCGAAGCTCTCTGCTAGCCGTGTTAGCAGTAGTGACTGGCGCATGCCTGCCTCGTCCACGGCTCTCCTGCCGTACTGCTGTTCTTTCCGGGCCCTCACCCACTGGGCTGCGTCGCTTATGTCCATCAAGTCTCGCCCAGCGAAGTGCCTGACCCAGCCTAGCCTCTTGACCCACGATGAGTCACTGTTTATCCCCTCCTTTAAGTCGCCCTGTCGAAGCCATGCCTCGTTCTCCTTCTCCTCCTCTGCGTCGTCCTCTATAGCCATTTGGTCCATCATGGAGATTAATGGTGTCGCTTCGGGATCGGACAAAACCTCGTCACTGTCGTGCCCAGTACGGACGATCCAATAACGCGCCCACCGTCCCTTACACCACGACTGGACCTTTACGGCGCTCCAGCCTGCCTCGTCGCTACTGTGACTTGCAGTACGTTGGTGTCGAACAATGTTGTCTCTCGTGGTCGTGATATATCGACATACTGCACAGCTGAAACCGTTCACGACGGGAAGCAATTGAACTGGCTTGCCGCCATCGGCCGGCAGTCTGCACGTCTGCGGATCTTGGAGTTCGATGTCGCTAAAGCTGTAAATAATGTCCTGTAGTAGCTTGCCCCGAATCTGGTGTTGGTAACGGAAGTGCGCCTCGATGCCAGCGCCGGGCTTAACACCAGCTGGACATAATCGACATAGCAGTACCTGCGTATCCACGTCAATTGTCACCACGTCGTCGCGCTCGTACAGTTGTTTGGCCATGTTTGACGTTCTTGAAGTTGTTGGTTCTTGAAGTTGTTCATTACTCGATTATCTACAGCTCTGACTATCTACAGTTCTAATCATCTATATACTATGTTGTCGCGTCGCGCCCCTGATCAAGCCCATCATTTCCTTTTTGGCTTCTCGTGTCGCGTCTTCCCTGCGAAACTGAGCTGTCGCTTCAGCTGGACATCTCATGGGGCTGCTAACCCTGTGAATTGACCTGGGGTTGATTCGGGTTGGGGTAGTGCCGGTGGGTCTGGGGTTATTTTGGGCCAATCAACGACCCGGCCCTAGTCAGCTCGACAGTGGTCAAATGCACGGACCCGCTGCACCAGTTTGTGTGGGCAAGTGGCCCCGTCTTTAATACAAACGTCTGCGAATAGTGCCTAGGGTCCCTAACCTGAGCTTGTGGAGCCATCCGACCCGGACGCTCGAGCTAGTCACAGTTGAAGAGCTAGGTTCGACTCCTAGGCGTGGCATTTTTTTGGCCCTCCTCTCTCTGCCTCTCTCTTTTGCGCGCGCCTCCGCCTGCCTGCTTGCTCTGGCAGTCGACGCGCCTCCCTCGTCGTCGTGCGGCCTGTGCATGTACGCATATGAGCGCGCGACTGGGCCCCACAGGTTCGGACCCCTGCTAGTTGGGGTTGGGCTTGGGGTTGGGTTAGCTGTGGGTTAGCCCATTTTTCGCTGGCCGGAATGAACTCAATCTGGGGTTAGTTGGGGTACCGGAATGGACTCAATGGCCCGTGCCCCCGGCCCCCTGTCCCACCAGGAATCGCCGAAAGTGAGGCCAACCCGGCCGGGAATGATGGTCAGGGCGATGCTGTCATAACGTCCCCGGAGATCAGCTAATAGTTCTTTTGCCGCGTCATGCTCGTGGAGCCTGTGTATGGAGAGGGACATCTTTACCGGGTTGTTGATATCGTTGGGGTTCACCGTGATCCAAATGGCAGGCATACCAGTCCAGACGTTAACGGCTTGTATCTTCCTCCGCATCAAGAGTCTGGTTTCGTTCGAGAGTGGCTGTGCATGGCCAAAGATGGATAATTCGCGAAGCAAGAACGATATGTCCGGATCTGTCGTGGCCCTTGTCTCCCGCAACTCCTCCTTAGCTCCTTTTAGGCGGACCGCTGTCAGGCGTCTATAGACCCGTTCTAGTCTGTTGAAGGAGCCCTTTGCCATACGGACCATGCTGATACGCCGATTTGTGGATCGGAGGAGAATATTGAAGACCAAGAAACAAAAGACTGGATGTGTGGCAAATCGACCACCGTGTCGTTGCAACACATATTTAGCCCAGTAATTGAGCGAGTGATTCGCACCGCGCTGCACAGGCTGCGAAGCATCAGGTCTATTCCCATCTAGCTCACTAAGCGCCTTGGGGCCGCCACTCCCCCACGGAAAAAGCCTCGGAAAGGTTCGCGGAAAGAAATCCTCGCGCAGGTTGTCCGCGAAATCCGCACCACGCTCAACCCGAACAAACGGCTGGTCTCCTGCGGTGTGGACCCTCATAGCGGAAGGTTCGGCATCGTCACCGTGTCTAATATGACTCGTCTGAATAGCCCCGGCTAGGAAGGACAGCCTTTCGACCTCAGAAAAAGCGGCCGGCCCCTCCAAAAAGGAACCATTCCGGAGGTTGAAGTCTCGTAGACGACATCATCGCCGCGGCCACGACTCCTTGGGCCAAGACCTGGCGCACGGAAATCCTCAGCCAACGGGTGAGACTGTTCCTCTGATGCATTGTCATCCGACGGGGAGGTATCGTCGCTTGGATCTGCTCGTACCGAGGCGAGGAGCTCTTCAATGTCTGTGAAACCATTCTCCTCTAATCCTCGATCGGTATTTGGGACGATGGGGTCTGTGTAGGTCTTTTCCACGACCGAGGGTTCCTCTCTCCGCATCCGCTCCATGAGAACGGCGGGAACTGTCGAGTCCTCGGCGTATTGCCAGCCCTGTATTTCATCCTGGTTGATTTCTATGTCCTTGTAGAGGGGATTGTGCTTTCGTAGCCAGAAAAGGGCGGCGGTCACTTGAGACTTACGCACCTGGAGAAGAGTCCCCACCTCCGCGGGGCTGGGTCTAATTGGCGCCACTCCACTTGCTGTATGCACCAGATCGCCGGCAGGTGTAGAGGCCGCAGATGTTGGACAACGCGTCATGGCTCAAACAAACGCATCGGCTTCGCTTCGAAGACTGAGGTTCTTGACGGACGAGACACGGCTGACCAGTAGGGAGTAAGTCAGCGTCTTATGAAATGGTAGGCGATGCGCAATCCTGTCGTAGGTACCATCCTCGCGCCGTTGCTTCACACTAACACGCTCGATGAGCCCAAGAAAGAGGGCGTAGATGGCGGAAAATTGAGCAGAGTCATACTAGATGAACTTATCGTGGTTATCGAACCCCATGTCCAGCGGCATGCGGTCGTAGCTGGGGCTGAACCTCGCGTGGTAGGCCAGGCAAGAGCGTCTCGACGGCAAAAATCCAACTTTCTCTGATGCTTATCAATCGCATAAGGGCAAGACTGACTCCTTCATCTGCGGCCGGGCTAATTGATCTACCTGAAGAGACGGTATTAGCAAGGCACTTAATTTCAGCTGAAGGAGGAAAGCGAGACGAAAACTGGACTACTAGATCTCTTTTGGTCCTAGTGAGAAGGAGGCAGGGGATGGCCAGGCAGACATTAATAGATGCAGCAGGGATTGAAATCAGGTTACGTGAATCCCACCCGGACAGCGGTTGTAGTACAAATACGCCAGCTGCTGATGGTCACACCCTCTTCCCTCCACGCCACGCCAACCAATAGAAGGAAGTCCTCACTCTCTGCCACCTATGCCGATTTTCGAGGCTGCGGCTCGAAGTAGTACAAATTTCAGCAGATCAGGTCATAACTGCAGCCAACTACGAGGTCCTCTAGCGAATGATTTGGTCAAACAGCGAACGCCAACTTACCTGGTAATGGCATGTCTTGCATTTTATGAATTTGCAACCGATTTAATCGAACTACGCTTAGGCATGTTCTCGAGGACCTTACTTGCCAAATTGCACAGATCCAGAGAAATTAGCCCCAGGGAACTGGCTGCCACTGCCTTTGCTGATGTTCTGAGTACCGCCAGGAGCATTGAATTGATCTCCGGGTCCTACTAAAGGATGAGTTGGCTGGCTTCTTGACTTGAGTGTCTCCCTTCGATTGTGTTGGTTGACTGACAGCTGAACTCCAGATTTGTGATTCCCATCTAATCAGCTCACCCAGCACCCTTTTGAAGCCATTGTCGTCCGCGGAGCTGAACTTGACCATATTGCTATGATTGGCGTGAATGGTGATCGCATTGTAACTTTCGAGCGTGGCCGAGTCACTCGGAACGACTAATCCGATCACAGGCAAAGGCAGTTCCTCAGAGAAGCATGTTACCTCGACATCCCGGCCGGCTTGTTGCCGCTCCCGTACCATGGACCAGAACCGATCTTGAACGGATCGCAGGTAATCTTCAGCTGTCTGCAAGCTCTTTAACAGCGAATTATTCGAGGACTTCACGAGACCCAGAGCCGAAGCCGGTATACGGGCCCAGTGAGCCATCCAGGAACCTCTATGCGGAGTGCCCATGAATGCGATGGCCTTGGTGCAATCGAATATGCCTCGGAGGTGTGCATTAGGGTTGTTTCGCGAGAGTAGAATGGCTTCTTTACGAGGCCGCCCAGGCTGTGGGCAACAAAGATTAGCGGTCGCGAGGACGGAACAGGCTCTGTCGGTCGTCAAGTCATTCAAGAGGTTCTGGGCATAATCGACCAACGCATTTACCGATGCCGGTGATTTTCGCAAGACATACGCGTCGTAGGCATACGTGAGGATGCGGGCCCTGCCAAGGTTGGGTGGCAGCAGCGTCGCGGGCCATGGTCTGGATTGTCCATTGGCAGTCCAGGTGCTGTCCCGATCACCGGTCAAACCGTGAACAAAGCAGATGTCAACTGTCGCGTCGTGGCAATCGTGCAGAACTTCAACTCCATCGGGGAACGAGGAGGGACCTGCAGGGCACTGAGAGGATAGGCCAGGGTCCCTGTCATGGGGCGATGGTGGACTAGGTGGGCCATGGTTGCGGCTTATATCCTGTTGATGAGTTTCTGGCGCCATGTTGGCGGCCAGACCCCGCTTCCGCCATGGAGATTTCGCAAGCATTGTCCTCATCGGCAATGGATTGTAGTATGAGATATGAACAGGACTGGGTCGGTGGAGATCATCACAATTGTACCTGATGAATTAACGGTGCTCGAAGGCCGAAGAAATAGAAAAGTCGAGAGAAAGGTGGATGCGCGTGGATGACAGCTGAATGCGACATGTCATCTTTCTGTACTGCTGTACTACCCAACGTCCCTAGGTTGTGACTGTTGGCCTTGAAGGTGACGCATGTGTGTACCAAGAGAGCACTTCACGCCAAGCAGTGCCGCATATCCTTGCTATTTCGCTTCAACCTGTGATGAAGCTGCAAAAAAGGGCAGGTTGAAGACAAAGCTTTAGGAATTCCTTCCATCGTTTTGAGCCGGTCCCGGGAGACGCCCAAACATAGGAGCCCTCTGGCCCCTTTGGTGCAGCCTGGGAACGTTTTGGAGAACCTGAACAGCCAGCAGTGCTTGGACGACCTCGGCAGCGAAAGGACTTGCTCGGAATCAATGCCAACAAGCTCATTCTGTACACATAGGAAAAGGCTTCAAGTGCGCCAACCTCTGCGATGTCGGAAGCCACAAAGTCGACGCTCACCAAATTCTTCATGATTCCGACCAAAGATCAAGCCCGGCACGCCCCAATCCAGTACTGCCCCACAGAAGAGCGTAACAGGGATACTGCCGAAGTCCTGCGCGCTCTCTCGGAGCCTGCAGAGCTGCTCGTTCGGGCATATAGCGTCCGAGCACCGAGCATGCTGGCCTCATCGATGATCCGCAGGTATCTCTCCAGCCACTCCATCCTTGTCCGCCTATCCATGCGGAGGGCTGCTGGGCTAGGCAACGCGAAACCGTCGACGTCCGCATATTAGCCTCCCCGTGGGGTCGGCTCCTTAGAGGCTTTACACGCCGCGTTAATGCTTGCAGCTACTGTCCCGAACGTGGCCGAACAACTCCGCGAGGGGCATGATGATCCGAGGCTTGCCGGTGCCCCTTCGCCGCCGATGAAGTGGTGTTGAAATAGCTTGAGAGCCTTGTGCTAGGACTGAATACAGACTGAGCAATTCCTTGGAAAGCGTCAAGTGACAGATGCCAGTAGCTTCGCCACTGCCTCGTACTTTTCTTTTCGAGAATATGGGTTCTTTGTGACCCGCAACACCCGCAACAGCGGCGTCCGACCCGACTTATCCTTCGACTGGGCGTCGGCCCCTTTCTCAAGCAGCAACTTGACGACTGCCTCGTGCCCGTCCGTTGCTGCCCACGATAGCGGCGTCCGACTGTCGTTATCCTTCGACTCTATGTCGGCTCCCTTCTCGAGCAGCAGCTTGACGACCGCCTCGTGCCCGTCCGTTGCTGCCAACGATACCCGCTGCCCTGCTGACCACGACAACGGCGTCCGACCCTGTTTATCTCTCGACTCGAGGTCAGCGCGCTTTTCGAGCAGCAGCTTGACGACGGCCTCCTGCCCCCTGCTGGCGGCCTTAGATAGCGGCGTCTGACCGGAGTTATCCTTCGACTCGAGGTCGGCGCCCCGCTCGAGAAGCAGGGTCATCACGGCCACTTTTCCTGATATGGCGGCCAAGCTTAGTGCCGTCAAACCCCACTGATCCTGGCAGTCGATATTGGCGCCTTTCTCGAGTAGCAGCTTGAAGACGGCCTCATGCCTGTCGGCATACATAAGCGGCGTCCGACCAAAATTGTACATGATGCAACTCTTCGAGTCGATGTCGGCGCCTTTCTCGAGTAGCAGCTTGACGACGGCCTTATGTCCTTGCTCAGCGGCATAGCTAAGCGGTGTCCGATCCCAGTCACCCTTCCAGTCGACATCAACGCCTTTCTCGAGCAGCTGCGTGACGACGGCCTCATGCCCATGCTCGGCGGCATAGCTAAGCAGCGTCCGAACCCGACCATCATCCGACGTGCCCTCACTCTTCGAGTCGATGTCGGCGCCTTTCTCGAGTAGCAGCTTGACGACGGCCTCATGCCCCCGCTCGGCGGCATAGATAATGGGCGTCTGACCTGCATTGTACGTGCCCGTGCTCTTCGAGTCGATGTAGGCGCCTTTCTCGAGTAGCAGCTTGACGACGGCCTCATGTCCTTGCTCGGCGGCATAGCTAAGCGGCGTCCGAACATACCGATCCTTCAAGTCGATGTCGGCGCCCTTCTTGAGCAGCAGCTTGACGACGGCCTCCTGTCCGCTCCCGGCGGCCCACGACAGTGGCGTCCGGCCATGAGAATCTTTGGGGTCGATATTAACGCCCGCCCTTTTCAAAATTGCCCACAACGCCCCTACCACTCCATACCTCGACAGAACGTGTACCAGACTAGTCCCTTCTGGCAGACAGTCAGAATACTTCTCCAATATCCTGTAAGCACGCGCCCATCGTTCCACAAGAGTGTTTGATGGCCAGGCGAAATATTCCGGAAGATCGTCTTGAAGGACACTTCTAGCATCACTTTCCTTCGTGTGCGCCACCCACGAGGTCGTGGCGTAATGCAGGAATGGAAACTCGGATGCTATGTCGTTGCGCTTAAGCGTTGCCAACCGACCGATCTCCTCCATCGCCAAGTAGTGTATGCAGATCCTAGAAAGCCGATAGTGTGCGATTCCGACTAGAAAATCGGGTCCCGCGGCCCCGTCCAGAACCAATAGGCCCTTCTCGACGAAAAAGTCGTGGGCGGACTGGTGGATGAACTGAACAACCTTCGTATCCGACGTGATCTCGGCAAGACCGCAGCTAAGCGTCTGAACTCGCCTCTTCATCCCCTCCTCGTCGGATGTGTAATCTCCTGCGCTCTGGCATTCGTATAATGACCGGTGTGGGCAATCGGCCTCGACAACCAGAGCCCATCGCAATTCGTCTAATGACAAGGGCCGCGTGGCAAAGCAGATCCATTGGATGAGTTTCAGAGAGTCCGGGCCCATGTTTCGGATGAGTTCGCGGTATAAGTCATCGAGCATTTGAGGGACTGAGCGGATTTCGGCGTCAATCTTCGTTGATCCGGCACCCTTGCGCTCAAGGTCCAGAACTTGGTTCACCACAAGCCACGCCCACAAGAAAACGCCCTGGGCGCGTTCCGTGATCAAATCGGGAATCATGGATGACGTTCGTACACGGAACGAAGAGAGCTTGTCTCGCACGAAAGTCGATATATCCTTCTTGTTTTCTTCCTCTGTGTATATTGTGAACACACCATCCAGGTCCAGAATCGGGTAGTGACGACAAGTGAAGCAGATGCGAAACTCTTTCAAGTTGATAGAGGGGAGCCTCTGGAGCAACGACTTGAACTCCCCAACTAGCTCGACCGCATTCTCTGGGCTGCATTCGTCTAACGCGTCGACGAATAACCAGACTGGGCGAGTCTTCAACACCTTCAGAAGCGATGACTTGAAGAAGCGTTGCAGCTCGCACGGATGCCACTGCCACTTTTCGCCGGGCTTGCCAACAGTTTCGCACCGCTGTTGGAAAGTGGCCACGAGGTCTGGCAGTGCGTCAGGGACCTGAATGAGGAGCTGGTAAAGGAGCGACCGGAAGAGGCCCAACGGCGTCTTTTGGAGTTCAGTACCACGACCGTGGAAGAAGAACGAGAGGATCAAGGCTCTCTCTCTGATGTTGGGTATTGCCGTGACATTGTTCAAAACGTACCGCAGCAACGTCGACTTCCCAGAGCCGGGCTTCCCTTTAATCCAGAGCAGGCCACGATCACAAGAGGCCCAGTTCGTGTACGTTTTATGTCGAAGCAGCCACTCGCATGTTCCCTCAGCGGCGGCATCGATATCGTGGGACCGACTCTCCATTTCTGGAAAAGCCAGCGATCTCAAGCAGTCTCGTGACGGATTTGGGGGTTCGTCGGTGCCTGAACGATACAGTGAGTTGAGAATCTCTATGCTATCCACGAAAAGGCCTGCTCTTACCCAAATACACGGGCGCTTGGAAATATTGGTTGCCACTGCCTTTGCTGATGTTCTGAGTACCGCCAGGAGCGTTGAATTGGTCGCCGGGGCCATAGCTGTTAAAGGATGAGCTCTGGGAAGACGGCCCGGTGCGTTCCGTCTCCCCTTGTAACCCATCAGTCCGAGGCCGCTCCTGTGGCCGAAATATCTTGCCTATGGCTCGCTTCATTGTCTAACGCACGTTAGATCAACTGGCCGAAGACGACGGAAATATGACCGACGCTGTACCGGGAATATAATCTGTCCGAGGGCTTTACCAAGGCCTGTAGTTGCGGCTGAAGGAGGAAAGGCAGGGTGAGAATCGGACTTCTAAATCTTTCGTCTTTGCCGAGGAGGCAGATGTGCGACCAGACGTGAAGGCACCTGGAAATTGGCGGGAACGACGAAGTCTGTCCCTCGATATACTAGTTGGCGCTCATCGCGGGGCTGAAGAGGCCGACGTTGGCCACTCGGGCTCGCGAAAATGTGACGGCCCTATCAGACGGAAAATACAAACGAGACTGCCGTTGTCTTGCGAAGATCAAAACATGTACAACACGCAGAGGATTCTCTTGCGAGCCGAAGCATAGTTTGATACTCTTATGAAGCGCGAAGAGGGCTCGGAGCGCTCAATAATAAAAATTATCTGGCTTCCTCCCCTTCTGTGGGATGGCGCGGACAACCTCTTGCGGTATCGCAGGGCAGTCTCGGCATTTGCCGAGTCTTGTGTGCGTGGTGGTTTGGCGTCTCAAAATGTTGCTTGGCCAGACCACTTGGGAGAGGACCCTCTAGGGTTGCCTCGCCACCAAAAAGAGTTTCTCGGCAGTTGCTGAACTTTAATCCCCAAATCACGTGTAAATTACGTCTCATACTACGTATGGCCATGGGGGAGGCCTGCCATTCTACTGGTTGGAGGGGAGGGAAGAGGGTGTGGCCACCAACCGCTGGCGTCGTGGTGCCAAGCCACTCTGACGAGACCAAGCACAGTCTGGCGGCGTCTGGCCATTTATCCCGGCTGGAAGGGCGACAGCTACGAGGAGACATTGGGTGTTGGGCAGCAGCCACTGCAGGCCGCGAGAAAAGATGGCTCGTGACTTTCGCCTGATATCCCCACCCTTCCTCCTTCCTCTCGACTTCACATTTTCTCGGAGCTGCCACTCTTCTTCGATGAGGCCCAGTGGCTAATGCATCAGGCACACAATTGTTATGATCTCCGCCGACCTAAGCTCCCTTTCCTATTGATTCTACAACACATCGTTGATGAGGAGATTGCGAGCGATGTTTACATTGCGGAAGCAGCGTCTGACTGGCGTCGATTCGCCGGAAATTCATCATCAGGAGACAAGCCGTGACCAGAACCCGCCTAGCCCACCATCGTGCCACGAGACAGATCCCAGCCCTCCACTTCCCTATGGAGTTGAAGTTCTGCACGACTGCCGCGACGCCACGATTGACATCTGCTTTGTCCACGGGTTGACTGGCAATCGGGACAGCACCTGGACTGCAGAGAAGCAATCCAGACCCTGGCCCGCGACGCTCCTGCCACCCGAGCTCAGTAAAGCTCGCATACTCACGTACGGCTACGACGCGTACATCGTGCGGAATTCGGTCGCATCAACAAATGGGCTGACCGAGCATGCCAACAACCTCTTGAACGACTTGACGACCGACAGAACCCGTTCCAACGCGTCCTCTCGACCGCTAGTCTTTGTCGCCCACAGCCTGGGCGGCATCGTCTGCAAGGAAGCCATTCTTCGCTCGCAAAATAACGCTGGACCACATCTCCGAGGCATATTCGATTGCACTAAGGGCATCGTATTCATGGGCACTCCTCACAGGGGATCCTGGATGGCCGACTGGGCCAGGATACCGGCTTCGGCTCTTGGGATAGTAAAATCCACCAATAAGTCGCTGTTGAACATCTTGCAGACAGATGACAAGTACCTCCGGTCCGTTCAAGATCGGTTCTGGTCCATGGTACGAGAACAACAGAAGGCCGGCCGGGATCTCGAGGTTACATTCTTCTTTGAAGAGCTTCCTTTGCCTGTGGTCGGAAAAGTCGTTTCTCAGGACTCGGCCACTCTTGAAGGTTACAATGCGTTTAGCATTTACGCCAACCATAGCGATATGGTCAAGTTTGGCTCCGCGGACGACAATGGCTTCAAAAGAGTGCTTGGCGAGCTGACCAGATGGGAGTCACAATTCAGGAATTCACCTGCCAGTCAACCAACACGATCGAGGGGAGAAGCACAGATCGAGAAACCAGCCAACTCATCCTTTAACAGCTATGGCCCCGGCGACCAATTCAACGCTCCTGGCGGTACTCAGAATATTAGCAAAGGCAGCGGCAACCAATTCCCTGGGGCTACTTTCTCTGGGTCTGTGCAATTTGGCTAAAAACTAGATCGGGTTGTGGGTGTTTCGATGCTGTTAATGTCTGGGGCTCTTGTTAGCTATTAATATTATGTTCCCAAGAGTCGGGCCTTTAGCAACTACAGAGAAGATTGCGACTTTTCTGACCGATGTGTCACGAGCTCTCTGAGTCGGGATAAAGCTATATCGTGTAAAGATCCTGGGGATAGACCATTCCCCGAGGGCCTGACGGTTCAGCAGCTGACGATTCTGGCTAGGAGATTCGATCCCTGGATGTCAGAGCCTCTTCAATGGCTATACATCTGGAACATCGTTTCCCCCCACAGGGCACCTCCCGCTATGGTCTCGCTGCATTCGGGCAAGATAGAGTATCCTATACCTCTAGGACGGTGTTTGAGACCCTGCCGAGAACCAGTCCCGTATACCGTGTAAAAATTCTAGCGCAACTGCACAATCGCAACAGTACCCTGGGGGTTAGCCGATTTTGGCGGGGCCGGAATGAACTCAATTGGGGTACCGGAATGCCCTCAATGGCCCGTGCCCACCACCCCCCTGCCCACCAGGAATGCGCGAAAGTGAGGGCTTCCCGGCCGGGAATGACGGTCAGGGCTTCCCGGCCGGGAATGATGGTCAGGCAACTTCCAGCGGGAATGATGGTCAGGGCGGCAGAGCTGCGTCTGAGGGATTTTGGAATATCGAAGAGTAGTGATCGCGTATATGTTCTGGAAGTCCTAAGCGATCCGCTAAAGGGACACTATGCTTGTTCCATAAGTGTGCAGTAACCTGGGCTCCGTCTGGTGAAATAGCGTGTCGGCATTCGGGTCTACAGCAGATGAGGACATTGTATGTTAGGTCGGCGTAAATCTGTAGGGATGTCAAGACCGGATCGGGATTATTCTCGCGGTCCGGCGTCGTCGCGGAGTCGGTTCGTAACTTGTTACTCCTCGTTCTACTGTAGGCTGTCCTACTGCTGTCGGGTTGGGCGCGTGGATCCCTTGGATTTCACCTAAAGCCGCCCTGGAATAAGACAGTAGTACTTAACTCTAAACCCAGATTCTCTTTATATCTCGTAGCCCGTTCGAGTAAGACGTACTATAAGGAGTCTTTACCGACGAGACTACCGGCGAGGCGAGGATAGCTGCAGGATCACTCTGTGATGCCGCCATTCCGCCTAGTCGAGAATGAGGTGGCTTTTAGCGCGTAGTTGACACACAGCACTGTAGCCCGTCCAGCCGAGAGTGAGGTGGGGTCCCCTCTCGGCTTTACCCCGCTTCAACACCACTGACAACCATTGGACCCGGGCCAGGGTTCCAGCGGTCAAACCACGGTTCCAGGCACAAGAACGGTTCTGCCACAACCATGGTTCCATCTTAGGAACCGCATATTATTCAGCCACGGTTCTTACTCTCCAAACACGGTTCCAGCCCATCTAGGCAGCCCCTAGGGTAGGCCATGAAAAGTAATTCCTCGACAACTTTCCAGAGGCGTGCTTCTGTGCCAGTCCAAGGTAGACGGCTTATTCCGCGCGTCTGCAGCCACTAACGCAGCCCCTATCATATCCCCGGCACACCATCACGCCACTTCAACACAAAGTTCAGGTTACTTCGGCGGCCTATCACTTCATGCCACGCCCGGCTCAGCTTCAACCCATTGCAGCCGACGGTGTGGTAGTACAAACGTCCACTGATCGCCGTAAGAGAATTGTCGCTGGTTTGAACAATTCCAGGCGTCCTTGCACCTCAAACTCATCGTGTTCGGTCGGTTTCTCTACCACTCAGTCCTACTATCCTGAGACTTATCCTCTTCGGAGCGCAACAGAGAATTTCGCTGCTACTCCGACTGCTGCTGGAGATAATGGACCGACTGCTGCGGGAGATAATGGGGTAAAGTCCATGGATTTCAACGGAAGTGCACCGGCCATTAATCATGTTAGCAGATCAAGATACCCGCACGACAAACACATTCCCGACACGGCCACAGGTGCGAAGTTGGATAGGTTTTTCACGCGGATTAAGAACTGGAGGCGTAGAAGATGGGAGGGGCGAGAGGTGGGGGGTCGTCTTGCCTAAGGGGCGCTATACACTAGGGTCAGAGTGTTACGTCGATCGTTGCGGTAGTAAAAGGGGCTGTGGTAAGGAGATAGAGTGGATGGGACCTAACACAGAGGCAGACTGTGACGGCTGGCATGGTTCGGATAGTGACATAGCAACTAAACATCAACTACTCCTATTAACGAAAGAATCCTAAGCTAAAGAGAAGAACGTTCTCTGGTGTCTTATGAGGGAGCGCGAGCTTTTTGAAGTGCACGCGTACAGATTTGGCCTTGAAACATCCTTGAAACTATCCCTATTTGGCGTCCGGCACGCGCCATGACACAGACACAAAAGTCAAATATCTCCCTATGTCTTCGTTGGAGTGAGTGTCACTGAATTTGAACTCATACTCCCGTCGCGCAGGTACAGGTCCCGCTTTGATCTGCCTGGCTTCCGACATATACGACCAGTACAGCGGCGTAAGCGGCCGTGGCCGCGAAGATGTCTCTCCTCTGAATGCCAGTGGTTGTCGCAAACCAGCCACAGAATGCTGCCACGAACCCGGTGACCAGCGCAAGCCTCGTGACCATGTCCGTCAGCTTGTAGAGTGCCCACATAGCACCCACGAGAAAGCCGATGGAGATCAAGGCTTGCAGAATCGCTACGAAGCGCCGGATGCTTGTAAGATCGATCAGTGCCTTGCCTTGTTTAATGGACCCGATGATATCCTACGTTTGATTTAATATTATATCTGGTAAGACACGTGCAGGATATGTCGGCTCTTTCACTTACAACAAAAAGGAACATGAGCCAAGTGCTCGATATGAAGCGAGTTAGGGGGTCGGAGAATGTCGAAATAGCGACTAGGTCCGAGAAAGGGCGTCCTCCCATCGGCGAATTCCCGTCCCATATCGCCCATGCGCCATCGTTGCCCTCCTTCTTGAGCATCTCGACCAGATCACGCACGTAAACGGCTGGAGGCCTGCTGAGATTCACAACGTCGCTGTAGCGCACGATTGCCTCATCTAGTATCACGTAAGAGTTAGCCCCACAGGTACCGTCGAGTCTTCCTACCTTACATATACTTTAGGACCTACGATAGGCTGTGATTGCACTATGATAATTCTCCGAGGCGCGATTCTTCGAGGCGTGATGACGTGCATGGTGACTCCGCAGCGTCTCGTCGGTCCGCAGCGTCTCGTCGGCTGCTCTCTGCACGTCGGAATGTCCTTTGTCGATCTCGGCCAGTTCAGCATGAAGCTCCAGGATGTTTTGGATCGCAAGTTTGTCGAATCGGCGGACAATGATGGATTGTAGGTCACAGTGAGCTGCCACTTGTGCTGCAGCGCCGGGTATAGAATGGGAGCGCTCTGTGGGGGGTTCCATGGCTGGGCAGTCAGTTGCCGAATTGACAGTTAGCTGGGCGAAGAGATACGAATTTCAAAAGAGGAGCTTCTGCGGGAGAGCAAGGCAGGAACTGACGAGCTAAATACGGCGTAAGTGGTGTGAAAAGGGTGCCTCGTCACATATTTGGCTTAGCAAATCGGTATTCGGCTTAGATAGGTGTCCTGCAAGGCACACCTCGCCGCGTGAAACCGTCAGGCTACTCAAGCCGGGCGTCAGGCCTCCCCGCGTACTTGTGGACGCAAAACGTCCGACACAAACGAGGTTGGCTCCACTCGTGCCGTTTGTAGTATTGCCCAAAATTCCATTTAGTCGCCAGGGGGCGGGGTTGCTTGGATACATTGGCAACTTTAGAAACTGGCGAACGTTGGGTGTGCTGTGGCGTCCGGGTGCTTCAATGGACTCAGGTCAACTCGTTGCATAAATGGTTCGGGTAACGTATCATGGAAGCATGTGCCATCACATGCAAATGTCGCATGGGTGTGTGGCTCGATTGTGCCTCCCCAGCCGACGGCAGAAATCCCACACCTTCACCAGCTCGAGCCGGCTCCGTTTGTAGGTCCGCTTAACGCAGAGCGTCATCTCCCTGACTGCCCAACCAACACAATACAGCAGGGAAACCGGGAGCAGATCTGCGCGCCCCAGCTCCCGCCACTCGACGCCGGCACCAGCCGCCCCGTATAGCACCTCTGCCGGTCGTTCTCATCGAGGACCGGGTGGAAATCCACGGCCCGCCAATTCCGCGGGGTTGGCGTCCTAGCAACCGGCCAATTCATCAACACGATACAGCTTGTCTAACGGTCCTTAGCACCGAATCTTGACTTTGCGGCAGAAAATGGTCGGTCTATTCTCGCCGAACTAGCTCCAACTTTTTCACCCGGCCCGCAGCTGCAGTGTCACCTATTTCTTCAATGAATCTCGTATCCATTCGCTATCCTGACATGTGAAATACGTGTACGACAGAGGCGCAGAATGTTTCAGCTTATGGCTAGGTATTTGCTCTCTCTCTCTCTCTCTCTCACACACACACACACACACAGACATAGAGCCTATAGAGCCTATTACGTCGAGGCTAAGCCGGAGGACTCTCTACACTATGATGCAATCTCGTTTCCTCTGTCACTGACGTGGTCTTCCGAAGTCCATCCAAAGGAAATCCTCGCTGATGTTTCTCCCTCCTCTGTGCCGAGTCTCGTATGACATCTTACATTGTGCACCTTAAGCCGCAGTAACTTGCAGTTGCAATCACCCAGGCTCACTAGGAAGAGTTCAAAAGTTTGTGATGTACAGAATCGCGGCGATTACCGCATTCTGGGATAAGCCCCATATTCTAGCTAATGACTGCATTCGACCGGGGATGGCACCAACTGATCGTATTGACCTGGACACAACAGGACACCGAACCGAAGGCTTGCGTCCAGGTTGATGCATGGATGCAATCCTGGGGCATACTTTCAGTGACCCGGACATGAACGCCATAGACACAAGACTGTCAAAATAGTTTGATTGAAGAACTAGGATTTAAGGGACAGTTAGGGTTAAGCGCTCGCAGCGCCATCAAACTAATGCTCTAATGCTTCCAATCGCCGCAAGAAGTTAGGTTTCGAGATGCGACAAGATATAGACCTGAGAGGAGAACAAGGGGAAGAGTTAGAATATCAATTTGTCAGTAATGCTCGGTTCCCCACCTGCACGTAAAGTATCGCAGCCTGCGATTTGGGATGACAGGCTGTTGGGGTAACTTAATGGAGTATTTGTGTGTTTCAATAAGCACAATTTTAGACCAGTTAGGAAAGCGCTGGACCTTCAAGCGGAGACCTGTGAGATAACTGTGTACGATCGTCCATTCGCATCAGTCCGCGTTCGCACATAATTAGCTCGGATTCCTCATTCTCTGGCATCTCTTGGAAATGATCCCTGACGACAACTCCAATCTACCGTTAATTCCGACTGGCTGGCCGGACGTGATTATTTCAAAGGTCCTAGCTCGGTCTGGTCACCCACAATAGGGTTTGCGAATGGACCGAAGCCCCAAAATTGAGCATGTGAAATTTTACGTACTTTTAGGTACTTTTACACGTGAAATGACCAACAGGCCACAAAACAGGCGCAATGTTTAATTTGGGGCATAGAGCCATACAATAGTAACGCTAAGCACTTTTTCCGGCTACACGACAGCACTGAGCATACATATCCAGTGTGGCTAACAAACCGACCGACCTAGACCGGCCCCTTCGGTCCGTCGGGTTGGGTTGGTCAAGGCTCCCGGTCGGTCGGCCTTGGTCTGTCTGGGTGCGCTGCCAGTCGGTCTGGGTCGGTCTGATAAGTCCTATACAGAGGTTCAACGGGTGCAATTGAAATGATTCCCTGAATGGTTAACTAACGGTACCAAGCTTGTGTGACAGGGGAGCGGACGGGACCCTCAATTTCCTTGATCCTATGGTCGTACGTGAAATGATCTGTCTTTAAAAATCACTCTATCTCTAGGGGGGAAGTTCTTAGTTGTGGGTACACTCAGATCGAATGCCCAAGATCATTGTATTGATACTGGATAATCCTACCAGGTGTTCAAGCACAACCCATCACCGATGCTTGACAGAAGTGCTTTCTACACGTCATCGCTGCATGCCATGAATTGGCTCGAGTTCTGGCCTGTGAACGGATCCATCCTGAGCCCCAGTCCCGCCGACTCTTCACGGAAGTCGAGGACTGCGAAATTCTCGGGTCATTCTTTGAGCTGCAGAACCATGACTGCGGCAGCTTGTGAAGCGGTCTTGGCTTATCGGACGGTAACTGCGGCCCCCACCCTGCGCCTTGATGCTGAGGTCATGACTCGAACAATCAGCTTCTTGTGCTACCGTCACCAGAGCGGGATCGGGATGGTCACCCGAGACCGCTGCTCAGGCGCTCCCGATGTTCATGTGGGTTACACAGACTATCATGGTCAGTATCTCACAGGCACACGCCGGAGTCCGATGTCGATGCCCAGATTCCAATGGCAGGGATATGAGTGCAGCTAGGCATATAGGAAAGCAGACCAAAGCCAAAAGTCCTTGCTACAAGCGCGGATTTGACAATTAGCAGTTTACAGTCAGCCTGGTACCCAGAACTTGAACGAAACTCTGGCCTGTTGAGACTGGCTGTCCACATTCAGAAGAGTGCTAAGATGACGCTTATTGCTTCATGTCCTGTATCATGTAAGATGACGAGGCGATCTTTGCACAAGCTCTGCCAGTTTTTGTACTGCACTAGACAGGAACGTTAGACAGTCAGACCTGTCGTGAATGATCCAGTGCCGGATGAGGGCTGCTTTGATCTGTGCATCCAGTCTGTGTTGCACTCTGCTGGTTTCTGATCCGTGTATCCGGACAAGTCCCGGAGGCGTCTGCTGATGGGAGTCAGGTAAGCTGATGTGTCAGGACAAAGGCATTATCACGACATCGCAGCAGCTGAACTCGTGTTGATTGGCATGTGAGATGCTGATACTGTGTGGTATGGTTTGCGCCTGCATCGACTTCTGAACGAGAACATATCCTCGCGCCAGTTGTGTAGGCTCTGCTACACAGCATCAAAGCAGGCCTTATGTTGCTCAGGCCAGCCCGTGGTCACAGCCCAATCCCATGCATGTCCTTCCCGTGCACGAATGAAGGTATGACAGACACGCTTAGAACGACGCTCTGCCAAAGATAGCTGCCGTGCATGTGTCGGGTGTTAGCTTTGTGACTGCTGCCAGTGAATATGGAGCGCTGGACCTGCGGCGCATTGAAGTCTTCAACTGTGCCGCTTAACTTACACAGCAGTAAGGTCACCGAAACCGCTGACAAAAGGCTTGCCGGAGTACGAGCATCATACAATCTCAGGAGCCTGCTGGCTTTGAGACTCCGGGCCCGTGTTAGTGCTGCAGACCGTAACTAGAGCACCCCCTCCAGCCGGTCACCGTGGTGGAGGCGATTTCCATACGATTGCGGATTGCATGAGGTGCTGCATTTTGAGCCACATGAACCAGTAGGTAACCTTTCATCCGCCGGCTGGCCACTGGCCATGCCAGTTCATCGCCGAGTCGGTGGTTACAGACGTGCTCGGGTGGAGCAGAACTGGGTCGTGCATTAGCTGATGTCTGCTGACCACCCATTACGATAAGCTCGCGCTGTTGTCTGTCTGGGGAAAGTCCGTGACCTTGGAGCGACGCATGGAGCCTCCAGCATGGAGAAGACAAAGGCTGCGCTAAACGTTGGAGCCGAGCGAGCCGGCGAAGGAGAGACTAACGGCAGCTGTGGTTGACTAAAGCACACCTATTGTGGCACCGACGGCATAGCATCACAGAGCAGTTCTCCCGGGCGAGGGACGAATCGCCCATCGATTGTCGATCACTCAGCGTCGAACCTTGAAGCTATCCCCGGGAAGGAACCAGCCGAGTGCGACTGGATCTAATTCCCGGCTAGGTGTCGCGACCCCGGAGTGGACGGCGTGGGCAGACCCGACCCGGCGCCTGTAGCGGGTGTCGAATGACAGTGGACCTGGTTTCTCTTTGGCGCCAGCGTGTCTTGCTTCGGGGCTGGGCTGAACAATGGCCGGACACCTTACAAGGATGGCGAACAGCGGCTCCGAGGCCCCCAGCTCGAGGCAGACGGGGGATGAGGCGCAGGGCTCGGCACTCGGAGCCACAACACGCTGCGTAACAGCGCAAGTGCTGTGCTGAGTGGGATTGGCAGGGGCGCCAAAAGGCCGGTGCCGACGGCTTGCATGACGCGAATGTGTGCCGGGGAACTTTGGTGAAGATGGTGGAGGCTGTGCGGGAGGCGGCTCGCTTGGCGGTGCTGGCGGGGTTGTTGGCGGGCCGCCTGCTCAGGCTGCCAGGCCCTGAGTGTCAGCAACCCGTGATAGCCTCAAAGGCAGAGCCGCAGCCTGATTGTGGAAGGGAGTCGCATTGAAGCTGCCGGGAAGCCTCACAATCTTATTTCTCGGGGCGCAGTTACCAGGCTACCGGTATCATGTCACTGACCGCGTCTCAGTTGTGACATCCCTGCCTCCGCCTTGTGCGCAGCGCCCTCGTTGCTAGCAAGCGCGACATTGCACCATCTTGTCATGACGTACCGCTCGCAGGCGAGGATCTTCTGCAAGATCGCGACAGTGATGCCTTCGCCCTTGCTTCACCTGCCATGACCTGTCCCGGGGCCGGAAAGGTCCGCGAGACGTAGCACGCCTTGTCTCTCGTGGCTTGGCCCTGGATCTCCAACTTCACTTTGAGCGGGAGAAAGGCCCCGCATCGAGCCATATCAACCATTCTCACGACTGCCGCGTTCATGTCGTGGCAGAAGACGCAGTCTCACCCCCGGGTGCGGAATGATGCAGACACAGGCACTTCTCGCGCAACACGAGCACGCATGGCATGCCTCAGTGATCAGCAAGGACGAGGATGCCTCCGAGCACTTGCAGCACAGCGCTACGGCCCAGTCTGCTCGACAGCCTCAGCTCAGGTGCTTCCGCCATGCCCATATGTATCTATGTCTTGTCACTCCTCTATGGGCATCGTCGCGGCGCCAGCTCTCTTCGCGACCCAGCTGTCTATCCGGGAAGTCGCAGCGCTGTGGCCTCCCGTCTCCACGCGCCTTCCTTCTGGAAGTTCTTGATGGTTCTCCGCCACCACGGAACAATTCTTGCCAGACAGCTTCAAGTCAAATGGTCTAAGCCACCTCGACGACATGGCTAGAGAGTAGGCCCCGCCATCATCGCCCAAATATGCAAGCCAGCAGCAGTTGGGTTCCCCTTTTACATCACAGCTGTCGTTCGCCCGTCAAGCCATTTCGGGACAACAGCCATCGTTATAAGCTCCAGTCAGCCCCCACACGGCGTCGTGGTCGAATCTAAATGCAGCGCCAACACATCACCGGCTCTACAAGGCCCGCGCCTTTGAGTTAGGCAGCACACGTCCTTTTTGTCACACGTCCAATTCGAGCGGCATGCCATCGTCCAACGACGCCCGCGAGCATAGCCCACGGGCCTTCGCCGCCGCCGCCGCCCTTTGCTCGTGGCCTTCATGTCATGACCAGCCAACTTACCGTCTTTGCCGTGCTTGCATGGGCACAACATGCCTACCATCAAGCTTCGAGATCCTGTTGTTCGCATGGCGTCTGCACCATAAGATATTCATAGCACTTTCTAAGCTTTGGTCTTGGAGAAGTTCTCGTGCAGATTTCCCCACGCCTGATCCGCAAGAATCTAAATGCCGCAGCCATCAGCATAGATAAACACAGAATCTGCCTTCAGAGCGGTGCGTCAATAACGACTCCACGGATTGCACATGCGTGCGCCTCGCATAATGGCTGGCCTTGACTTGGCGACAAGATAACGGCTGGAATATGGCTTTACCCACGTGAGGTGCGTGCGAAGTAAGTGCGGCACAAGTCGGGTAGGCAAGGGTAGAGGACAGAACGCCTGAATCTACTCATCCGAACAAGCTTGGGTTCGAGCTTTCAGCAATTTCCCGCAGTATTGGTACGGCCACGGAGAGGGCGATTGACGCCGCTCGTCATAGTGATCAGGACAGCGAGCCTCCTGGTCTGCGAGAAATTCACTGCCATTGAGAGCCAGGCAAGCCGTGATATAACGCGAGACAGCGGCGCCCTCGAGCGGCCGGGAAACTGATTGACCCTTCTTTGCTCCGCCATCGGGCGGTCTGAACACCTGCATCCTGTCATCTATGACCAAAGAAGCTAGCTTAGTCGTCCGCGCAGCTTTCGACGAGCTCTTGCACGTGAAAGAGACGTAGAGCACGGCACCTGGGCCCTCTGGCCTCGTAGCTGATCGAATTGGCGATTGGTTCCGGTTCGTCGAACTGTGGTTCGCATTTGTAGTACCGGCATTCCGGACCGTCGGTGGTCGATCTGGGGAAGAATCTGGTAAATTTGGGGTTAAGAGTGAACTCTAATCCGCCTGGAATGGGGCTGGAATGAGACGGATCTGCTTCGTGCACAGACCTTTCGTAGGACATAACATAGGACAAAACATGTCCTACGTGGGAATGAGAAGGAAGTCGAGGTATGCACGGTCGACACTGCACTTGTGGGCCCTGGAGGTTGACTCAAATATGAGGTGGAATCAGACAGTAGGCATGTTGGGTCGTGGCGCAATTGCAGCCACAGCAGCTGCCTCCTCCATCACACTACTCGCCAAACACATCAAGCTTTAGCGTCCATTCGTGCGCGTCGTTTATTATCCGACTTACACATTGCCACTCGAGGCTGACCTGCCCCTTAAGGAGTTCTGTCTTCGGTGGTGCGAGAGGCTATCAGTCCCAAACTTCAAACGCGCATTTGTGCACGCTTGCATGTGCGCAGGCTTGTGCATGTGCAGGGACGAGAAAGACCTTGTCCACAGCCCGGAGCTTCCGCGCTACTGCTTAGGTAACTAGTCGCTGACCACACCACATACAGTTGCTTGGTCGTTGCTATGCCCCACCCTTGGAACCGTAAAAGTGGGTGCTGGCTCCTCTCCAGTCCCCTTACGATCACCCTACAACGCAGTGCACCACTTCACAACGACAGCGAGTAAGCGATCACTAGTCACCACGCGCAGGGTACCAATGGCCAATGTGCTTTCATGGCTCGAGAAGATCGAGCCGGAATCGCAACCGCCGGAATCGCAACCGTCGGAATCGCAACCGCAACCGCAAGCCGTGCTCGGCAAGCGCGGACGAAGTGCCAGCCCTAGCCGTCTACCAACACCACCAGCATCTTCACATCGGCTTTCCATGGCAGCAGAAGCAGGCGGCATGGGTCCAGGTTCTGACCGCACCAATACGTCGCAACAGCAGCGAAGGAGGTTATGGGACTCTGAGGAGGACGAGAACGAGTTTCAGGACTACCCGGCCAGTGGCGATTCCGTACAGCACAACACCCCTCGCGCTTCGAGAGCAGCTCATCTACAACTTGATCGCACGCCGACTGCATCGTCAACAACCAGCCGCAGCGACCAGTCAGACAAAACCAGATCTTCTCGATCACCGACGAAGCGGATACGCGGGCTCGAAGTTGCACGCAACAGGTCCTTGGTGCTGCAGATCGACCGCGCCGATCCACGCATGCCGACTGCGCTCAAGAATGAGCTTGCCCAGCTTCGACAATGCAGCCGGGGCGACAAGGTCATTCCGCCTTATCTGCGAGACGAGCTGACGAGCCAGCGCGGAAGCGACGAGACGCTTTACGATATCACCGACGCTGCCTTCGCCAGCAAGGAGGACGAGTTGGCCATGGCGACGGCAGGTTTCCCGCTCGTAACGATGCAGGCCGTGCGCAACATCTCCTCGGAGGCAAAAGAGTGCTACAACCACGGCCATGCCGAGGCGTCATGGAACATGCTCGTCCACTGGCCGCTCCTGGCGATCGCTCTGGGCCGAAACGAACAGCAGCCGCAAGATCCGACTCAGCCTCGTGTGCACGCCATGCCCTGCACCATGGCGCGGCTATCTGGCGATGCGCGTGGCAACAAGATGGTCGACTTCTGCCTCTATATCGAACCAGCGGATGGGTGCGATAAGAAGCGCATCGACGGGCTACGGGCGCAGCGCCCCAGCGAAAACATCAACCACACCGACTACACGCCTCTACGGGCACGGCCCATCCTTCTCAGCGCCGAGTCTAAGAAACCGGGTGAACAGCTTGCTGAGGCGCATCTGCAATTAGCTGTGTGGCAGGACCGCCAGCTGCGGCTGCTAGAGTCGGACATCGCTCATGAGCGGAGAGCAGACACAATGATCGCTTTCCTCCCGTCGCTCGTGATTCAGGGCCACGAGTGGTGGTTCACCGCGGCCACACGGCACGAAGGCACAACGGTATGTCATCATCTACAGAAACCCTTGACTACACAAGCTGACCAGTCGAACGTTGTACACAGATCCTCTGGACACAGCAGCATATTGGAAGCACCAGCACGCCACTAGGGATCTTCCAAATCCTTCACGGGCTGCGACATATCGCATGCTGGGCAAGTACGACATACTGGCCCTGGTACTGCAAGCACGTTCTCAGAGCTTCCATGGCCCCGACGATGATGATTGATTCGAACACCTAGCGCGACCTTGCAGCGTCAAAGACTATAATTGCTATCACAGTTAACACAACACGCAACTTGGCGCACAAGAGCACCATCCAGGAATGGCACGAGAGTGGTCGATGCAGAAAAGGACACTGGGTTGCAGCGTCGGCCCCGCTTCTGGTTCAGCCAGTGGTAGGGGCTGTCAGTCAACCCCGCAGTTTCTTTCCTTGTTCAGCCGCTGTTGACGCCTGCTGTTTGTGCCACGCGTCGATCGTGTTTTTCGAGGAGACTCGGGCTTCATGAATAAAGTCGCATCGCGCGGTCGCTGATCAGACCTACCAATCAGTCAAGAAATCTTGCTCAAATTGCGCCGACGAGATGCGCCTTCTGAAACTCCAGGAGGATAGCAGCCTCAGACTTGGGGAGCATCCTCCAGACGACGTCCCGCCATATGCCATCCTCTCGCACACCTGTGGAGCCGATAACCAGGAGATCAACCTTTCGAGACGTTCAACATCATACAGGCAGGCCATCATAAGGATGGGTTTCAAAAGCTCACGTTTTGCAGCCAGCAGGCGACGCTGGATGGCCTGAAACATTCTGGATCGACACCTGCTGTATCGACAAATCTCACGACCAGGAGCTTCAAGAAGGGATCAACTCCATGTTCCGTTGGTTCAGAGAAGGCAACCATTGCTACGTCTACCTCACCGATGTGCGACAAATACTAGCGACGATAACGACAGACCTTCACAAGTACAATGGGAGAGAGCCCTCAGAAGCAGCCAGTTGTTCACCCGCGGCTGGACACTAACCACGGGAGGGTGACATACCCAGGTGGCCACAGTCGCGCTCCCCAACGTCGCGGTCGCTACAGCTATCGGTATGTTGCACCTCACTGGGTTTGGGCCAGGAGGCTTCGTTAGAGGCAGGTCCTATTGCTCGCTCATTATTCACTCAATGCCCTGCATGTCTGGCAACTCACTAACACAACAACCTGGGCTGGTAACAGGGAGCATTGCTGCAGCTGCACAAGCCTCAATAGGTAATGTTGTCGCTCCGAGTCTCTTCGCCACTGCGACCAGTGCTGTGCTGGAGGTTACGGGCACGGTGCAAGCGATGGGAGGAATCGTCTCCAGGTCCACTGCCGCCGCGAGCGTGATGCTAAACACTTCGGCATGATGAGAATAATGGGATGGAACTCAGCCGGGAGTCCACTGTGTGCATAGGTCCAGGAAGATTGTGGTAGCCAAGTACTCGAAAGTTTGTTACCATGGCATCGGTTCTGTGACTGCTAAGTTTGTACCTATGTATGAGAAGCCTGGCGGCATAGCCTATAGTTGGTATCACTCCCGACGGAACTTGTTGAGGACATCGCCTATCACGCCACAATACCTTCTGCCGGGCTCGCAGGCTTCCTGTCAACACTCGTGGATCAGCCAACAGCAGGACCAGAGAGGGAAGCCTCACGTTAGCAATGCCTGCATCCGATGAGGAAAGGCAGGCCTCCCCTACATGCATGCCCTTCTCGCCACTGCCTGGTCGAATGACATCGGCTTGCCGCAGCTGCTTCTGGTCGTAAGGCTCCAGGGCGGGGTTCTCGTAGAACGGCGGCTGTAGTGCGTAGTGCTTTTGAGCATATGGGCAATCAGACAGGTTCCTGTTGCTCTATAGTGCCGCTGGCCATCGTTTAAATAAGGTTGATATCTGTCGTCATTCTCGAAACTCTCGCAGTCTTCGGCGTGGACGGCGCCCCCATCACCGTCATTTTCCGGCACCAGCGTCGCCCCCTTAGCGAGCGTGGGCGAAGCTCGTTATACTACAGCAAAGTTTTGCACAGGGCATCGGTTGAGAGAAATGCATCTGGTGTGATGGCGTGTCGGCACTCGCTTCTGCGGCAGATGAGGACCTGATATTGTAGATCTGCGGAGACTTATAGGTACGTGAAGACCTGGTCGGGACTACTATCGTCCTCCGCCCTCGTGGCTGGTCTGATTAGGCATTGGTTCCGCATGGTCGTACTACAGGTTGTCTTCGTGGGGCCGGCATTCTGGACTGTCGATGGGTCGCATCTGGGGAAGAATCGGGGCAGAGTTGGGATTAAGAGTGGACTCAAGTCTACTTGGAAAGGGGCTGCAATGAGACGGATCTGCTACGTGCACAGGCCTTTCGTCGGACATGACATGTCCTACGCGACAATGAGAGGGACGTCGAGGTATGCACGGTTGACACTGCATATGTGGGGCATGTGGACCCCTGGAAGTTGACTCAAATACGCGGTGGAAGAAGACAGTAGGGCAATCCGGCCGGGAATGATGGTCAGGCCGAGGGATCTTGCCGGACATATGGGGCAGGTGGACATGGGATTTGTCTCAATTCTGGGGTGCAATAAGAAGACGTGGTCAGCGCTCAGATTCCCTCGCCAAGGACAGACTTATTGGACGTCTATGAATTGATTGATTTATTGTTATATATGTCTCTACAGAGAATCGCCTATTCAGTTCACTCTTAGCCCATTTAAGAGGGCGAAATAATTCAATTACCTTCACTCTATATTCAGTACTAGCTGTCCACTGGTGCTGAGTCTCCATCAAACGTAACAAGACTACGAGATCTCAATTTATTCAGTTCTTCAATTACTATAATCTTAGTGCTGATGGGCAGAAGTTCGCGTAAGTGGCAGCCTCTAAAAACCGGTTATGTACGTTCTCATTCTCTTCCGACACTTGTATGCCTTGCAAGGTTTTGTGGCGGCGCCTGGCAGGGGAGATAGACTGGCTCCTATCGTTTCGAGGGAACGGGGTGCTCGAACCTCGTGATCCTCGGGGGCCTTGCCTTGGCGCCTGACTCTTGTCCCCTGGCATTATTCATTGGCAATTACTACACGGGCATGAAGAATTGCTACCCGGGCATGACTCTTACACGGGCATGACTTCTATCGCCTCTGATTCGCTCATTTTTTTCCTTCGACCCACAGGTACATCAGTGCAAAGGCGGTGAAGCAAGCTCTCTTAACAAGGCCGTGCTTTCGGTATAGTCAGAACCAACCAGGTCAACCAGGCCTCTAGAACAGGTCTTAGGCGTATATCAAAACAAGGTCTGGTTTTCAATACAGAACACGGCCAATTCCAGCACGCCCTAGAGGGCAGCTATCTATATCTCTATCCTCTAACTACTATAGATGGAAGAACCTCCTCGTCGCTGTAAAGCAGCTCCCACTGACTCCTTCGCCTGCGAATGCTAGATTGCGTCTTCCGTCCGTTGGCACGTACTCCTGTAGTTCTTCCAGCTCCAAGAACAGCTGACCGGCTGCGCGTCTGGCGCTGGGATGAGGCACTGGCCTGGCTACTAGCCTGGCTGCTGGCCTGTTGGCTCGCTTCCAGAGCAAGCCTAGCTAGCGTTGACTTGTTGTGACTTCCTGGTGGTCGACCTCGTCTGCGCCCTGTCGCTTGGCTTGCTGGATTGCTGGCTCGTTGGCCACTCGGCTGGCTGCTTGCCTCAATGGCTAGCCGCGCTGGAACAGCCTGTGTGGTGTTCTTAGGTCTGCCACGGAGAGCAGTGGCGATCTTAGGGTCGAGGATTCGTCGGTATGGATCTCGAGAGGATGGCTCTCGTAGGCGCCACCGAGGATGGACCTCCCATTTGGTGAGAGGCGTGCCACTCACCAGCTTTGAGTAGATTGTGTGGCAGCAGGGGATTCCAAGCTCGGTCGAAACCGAGCAGTCCTCACTGCAATCGCCAATGGGGTCAGGGAACGGATTCTTCCCCGTCGGCATTGCTTTCCTTGCTAGCCGATATTGTTTGTTGATAAGCCCGAGACCCTTCGAAGAGAGTGCTGTCCGGGGTTCGCCTAGATACTCCGAGCTGGACCCTATGTACTCTCGCGCGGTAAGTACCTCGTCCGCTGCGCAGGCGTCGTTGAAATCTCGCTCCTGGTCCTTCATCATGTCCTGCATAGCCTCGATAAGCCGATAGAGATTGCTCATACCATTCAGGAGATAGCTCTTGATGTTGTTGTTGCTTGCTTCTGTCCCAGATGTGACGCGTATGCCGAAGTTGCGATAGTTGCGAATGAAACATCGTGCCCACTGCGCCCTGACAGGCATGTAGGTTCCATGGAGATACCGCAGGATGGCCCGCTGATCGTCAAATTCCCTACAGAGGCTTCCCCACGCCTTCTCGTGAGCCTCCTCTGTCTCCGCAAACAAGACGACCTTCCACATCATGAGAACCCCTCGATGGCTATGAGGGACGACTTCAGCTGTCTGCGCGTTGACCAACTGTCCGTCTTTCGGGCCGAGCTCAGCCTGTGCCTGTGGAGCGTAGTCCTCCCCGTTGCTGCTGTCGGGACTACTACTGCTACATTGGCCCTTGACCCACTTCTGCTTTGACTTGAGCAAGACGTTAGAATTGATGTGGTGGATGCACAGCTGCTGCTGTGCATCAGGGAACTGATCATTCAGGGCGGCCTTCATCTGACCGTCGAAGTCAGTAATGATAACGTCCGGTTGGCGAATAGAGTGCTGCTCTGAGATCTGTCGAATGCTCTCAGAGAGGAACTGGAACCCCTCCCGTCTCTCGTTGTCGATCAGACCGAACGCCGCATTGTAGACAGAACCAAGGCAGGTCTGTCCTGTTGCTTGGAATAATGGAAGCTTGAAGCGGTTGGTGTTGTATGTGTTGTCGAAGCTGAGGACCTCAGGAAACCGCTTCCACATCTGGAGGCAGTACGGAAAGGTCCAGACAAGACCGACGAGGCGGTTTGGCTCATCATCCGCCCACTTAACAAGATAGGGAATCTCCATCTCGTCGAACAGCTTGATCAGTGCTGCAGTAGGAGTGTGGCCGCTCAACTTGTCTCGACTGATACGAGACCTGGCGTTATAGATATCCTTTCGTGTAAAAGATGACTCGGGATGCTGCTCCAGGACGATCGCGCGTACGTCACGGGCCCGAATTCCGACCCGACGGCTTGTCGATTCGACTGTTGCCCTGATAGGTGTAGTGAGTCGTCTGTGGGAGGGATGGGCGGATGGTTTGATACTGGCCCGGTGGTTATGCTGGCTATGCTCGGAATTATCGTGGTGTCGTAGAAGCCATCTACCCTCCTCCAGTGCTTCGGCAATGACCATCCATTTACAACCACACTTTCGAGACTTCCGTTGCCGAATACCGGTACTCTCTGAGGGGCGTGGTTCTCCGAATCGATCGCATTGGAAAGAGTACCGGATCTTCCGACCCTTATATGAGTAGGCATTTCGTCGAACAATACCGAAGCCATTAGCCTTCGCGAAAGTATTCACCCACTCGAACAGGACTTCGGCTGACGGCGCTGGGTCGTCTGGGATAGGTGGGTTCGGGATCGGGTCAGGGACAGGCGACAAGGGGTGGTCGGGCGAGGGCGGCGAGGCGATAGGCGGAGAGTGCCTTTCTCGGGGAGGCGAGTATGGCGGAGATGATTCGAATGGAGTTGAACTGAGCGGCGAGTAGCCCCATATCTCGCGCCATTGGCGGACTCGTTCGTATGACCGGACGAGCTCGATGGTAAGTCTTCGATCTGTCCCAATCACCTCGCGCACTAGCCTAAGGGCGGACTGAAACTGGGGTCTTGTTGGAGAGAATTGTTCTTGTGCTGATTGTTGTGGAGAGCAGGCAGGTGGCTGGTCGATTTCCGGGCCTGGTATAGGCATTCTTACTCGTTGCGACCGTCTTCCTCGGGTTGGGAAATCATTCGATAGGTGAGTCTCATGATCGAATCGCAGCTCCCATGGTGGCTCGTTCAGCCCACGCGATCCATGGGGGCGTGGAGCGGTC